GGAAAGTTTTAGCCTTAAATTTCTTCCAACGGTCAGGTCCCTACATCGATGTTCATTACTTGAACATCGCTGTTTAGGTCTGACTTTTGAAGATGGAAGTTTGGCCTGACAGCGCTGTTGCTGGGTCAACATCGCTGTCCAAAAACTTTCTGCCAATGCACTGTATTTTTGGCTTAGGTTGGACAGCGCTGTAGGGAAGCCTACATCGCTGTTCCAGAAGTTTCTGGAAATCCAACCTTGGCTCAACAGCGATGTCTAACATCCAACATCGCTGTTGGAAGACTTAACGCCAAACCATGGTTTTCAGCCACCCAAGCCAGACAGCGCTGTTGGTTTCACCAACATCGCTGTTGGGCTGGTTTAGCCAGACCCATGGTTGGTTTAGTCAGCCATTAGCCGATGTCAAAAATGTAAGTTCTCCAAAATAAAAACCAAGTATTGAAATTTTTTTTTATTGTATTTTGCTAAGAAGTCAAGTAAAACATTTTGAAAACCACGTCATTTAGTTGAAAACCACGGCTAGCCAAGTTTACGCCGTTTCGCATGGTTTTCACTAAACGACCAAAAACGAAAGGTGGTTTTTGAAGAGTTTTTGTTGGAGAACTATTTAAACATGCCCAGAAGTAAAAACTAATCATTAAAAGTTGAAAACCACTTGGTTGGTTCGGACGCCAAAAACCAATGCCGATAACCGAAAGCCGAACGCCGGTTTTCGAAGACCGAACGCCGGATGGCTTGGTTTTTGGTTTGGGAAAACTCCAAGTGTTTTTAGGCAGTTTAAAACTTAAGAGAAACATTTTTGAATATGCAAAAGATATTTGATGAGAGAAGCCTAGAGAGCCAAGATTTGAAAGTTTGTGCCGGTCTTGATCACATTAAGACCGACTCAATAGAATTCTAATTCTTCGTTCTTTATTCTTGGTTCTTGGTTCTCAAATCATCATGCCATGTTCCTTCGCCTTGGTTTTGCTCACTTTAACCTTGTTATTGTCACGGCGGTTTGGCATTATCAAAACCTGTCATAAAACGAACACAGTTTAGTACGACGTAGGCGTACACCCGTGTTCCAACAATTTCTCCTTTTTTGATAATGGAAAACAAGACGGGGATATGCATACTAAGGGATATTTGATTTTCAGAGAATTGTGAAAAAGTTCCCCCTTAATTTGTGCTTTTTTTTAAAAAAAAATTAGTCGGATCAAACGGTCTCGTTCCCATTTAGTATATGCATAGCCCTTTTCTTCCCCCTTTTGACATTAACAAAAAGATAAAAGATACTTATTTATTGATGGGAAATAGCGGAGTACAACGGAAGCATTAAAAAAAACAAGACAATTAAAGGAAAAGAGATAGAAATTCTAGGGGTGTCCTAGTTTTCGTCTTCGGTTTCGTCCTCGTCGTCGTCGACGTCCATCTCGCCACCATCAATGGCGTCATCGAACTCGTCGTCATCCGGGGAGCTTGACGGGGCATAGGAGGCATCGTCTTCGTCCTCGTCACCGTACACTTGCCCAAAGAATGTGCCATGGTACGGTGGGGGGACGTAGTTAACGCGTTGGAAATACGCGTTCATGGCGTACCCTTGGCGTTGGACTGCCTCGTCGAGCCGCTCAAGGTAGCCATCCATCCCGTCAACTTTGAGGTGTAGCCGGTTGAGGGAGTCAGCGATGGAGGCGAGGTTGGCCCGGGCCTCAGGTTCGGCTGGGCCAGCGGCAGGGGCAGTGCGGCGTGGCGCGGCAGTGGCAGGCGCGGCGTTGTCTGACCGCTTGGTGAAGGTTTGGGCGCTTATCGTCCAAAGCTTCGTGGCCTTCGTGAGCGGGCCAACGGTGGTGGTTACCTTGAACCGTTCAAGGATGTCCATCACCAAAAACGGGTACGGGAGGAGGTGATCGTGGTCGGTGGACGCGACGATCGTCATGTTGATCATGACAAACTTCGCCCAATTGATTGGGGCCGAGTGCATGATCGCGTGGACGAGCTTGAGGTCCTCTCCGGACATGATTGTGTGGCCGTGCTTCCAGGGTTTGATGATCCGGGACACGATGTAGAGAACGAGACGGCCTTCGGGGTTAGCGGAGTAGATGGTGGGGCGGCCCGAGGCATGGCGTATGAGCTCGGTGATGCCAAGCTCGTTGAGGATAAGGCCCTCGTTGTTGAGCACCCAGTCCTCTCCGCCATAGTGAAAGACATCGTCGCCTTGGAAGGGAAGGGCGGCGATGCGCCCAAGCTGCTCTAAAGTGAGCTCAATCGGCGTGGACTTGACGAGGCTGTAGATGACATCGTCCTCACGCCGGAGGTTGGAGTAGAAGGCCCGGATCAGTGCCGGGTTGATCTCCTTCCGCGCCCGGGAGATGAACGACCAAAGGCCGGCTTGATGAAGTTGTGCGTCTAGGTCGTCGTAACCCTGCAACTCCGGGTAGCACTCCGGGATGATTCGCGGGGGAGCCACAACCCGTTTAGAGAAGAAGGTGAGGAAACGGGTGCGTTCCTCCTCGGAATCAAACCAGAGGTATGACCCGTCGCCGTAGTAAAGGCGTTCCTCGGAGGATGTCGTAGGCGCCTGGGATTTGGACTTTGATTTCCCGGAGGTTCTTGCCCTGCCCTTATCTTTGCCCATGGTGAAGAAATCTCAAAAGATTAGAGTAGAGAAGATGAAATATGTAGAGATATTGAAGAAATTTGTGTTTGTGTGTGTAAAAGTGAAGAGAGGGGGTCCCAATATAGAGAAAAGAGGGTCCCCAACGACCAGATTTTCAAAAATATGGCTGTTGGAGCAATTAATGCAGTTGCAACGGATATTTTTTTTTGAAAAATTTATCCAGAACAGCGATGTTCCAAAGGCTACATCGCTGTTGAGACAGCGCTGTTGAGCCTCTGGACAGCGCTGGTTTGCGCTGTTCCCAAAGTTTCTGGAAATATGTACGGGGTTGAACCCATTAGAACAGCGCTGTTGGGTGTCCCTACATCGCTGTTTTAAGATAGAGAAAAAATTTGTAAAAATGGACATCGATGTTGAAAGTAAGACATCGATGTTTGAAAAGTTTCTGGTTTTGGTGGAAAACAAGGTGTTTTGGGTAGACAGCGATGTTTTTGAAAGGAACATCGATGTTCAAAAAGTTTCTGGAAGGTGAAGAGTAAGGGACTCCCTGGGACAGCGCTGTTGGCTTGTTGTACAACGCTGTTGGCACAAACTGGTTGACGGTGTTTCTCTCAACAGCGCTGTTGGGTCTCCTGGACAGCGTTGTTTGCATGGTTCCCCCTGATTTCATGAACGGGGTGAAACGGATCATGAAATACCTTGTCGGCACGGTATAAACATGATATCTGGCCTACTAGCGGTAAGATAGAGAAGGGATCTGATCATACCTCGATACTTTTTGACCTCTACTTCCTTACCTTTCTCGTCTTTGTCAAGATGGTCAGACGTGTTCATCGGGGTCGCCATGGCTTTGGCATTGTCCATTTCAAACCGTTTTAGGAGCTCCTTGCAATATTTAGCTTGGCAAATGAATGTGCCATCTTTCATTTGCTTAACTTGGAGTCCCAAAAAGAATGTAAGCTCACCCATCATGGACATTTCAAATTCGCTTGTCATTAGCATTGAGAATTCCTTGCACAAAGACTCGTTAGTAGCACCGAATATAATATCGTCTACATAAACTTGAACCAAAAGGATATTATTGTTTTTGCTCATGATAAAAAGTGTAGTGTCAACCTTTCCCCTTTGGAAACCACTATCCAAAAAAAATTTACTCAAACGTTCGTACCAAGCACGAGGTGCTTGTTTAAGACCGTAGAGCGCTTTCTTGAGTTTGAAGACATGGTCGGGAAACTCAAAGTCTTCAAACCCCAGGGGCTGGTCAACATACACTTCCTCTTGAATAAAACCATTGAGGAAGGCACTCTTAACATCCATTTGATAAAGTTTAAAATCCATAGACGAAGCAAAAGCAAGAAGTAAACGAATAGCTTCTAAATGTGCTACGGTTGCATAGGTTTCCTCACAATCAATGCCTTCTTCTTGATTTTAGCCTTTAGCTACGAGCCTAGCTTTGTTTCTAGTGATTATTCCATTTTCATCAAGTTTGTTACGGAACACCCATTTCGTACCAATAATCGTACGATCATCGGGCCTTGGCACCAATTCCCAAACGTCATTCCGTTTGAATTGGTTTAGCTCCTCTTGCATAGCCAAGGTCCAATGTTCATCGTTTATTGCTTCGGAAATGGTTGTAGGTTCAATTTGAGAAACAAAAGCCATGTGACCTACGGTGTCCCTAAGAGAATTACGAGTACTTACCCCGCGGTTGATGCTGCCGATTACCTG